AAAAAGGAGGAGGATTGGCAGATGTTAGCACAGGGCTGAAATTACTCACACACACACACAAAAAGAATAAACTTATTATTATCATTCTTGTCCCCAGTCACACATTTTACCACTTGGTAGTTAACCTCTTGTTCATATTTGATAGCTGGAAGGAATATGCATGGAGTAGTATTTTCTTAATTGTGCTACACATAAAGGAGTAAAACTAGATAGATCAAAACCAATAATGGGGCTTCTTTTATCCTTTGGCATGGAGTCAAGACAAAGATACAAGGGAAACAGTGGTAATTGGCCTTTGAGGTCCCTGAGAAAGTTGAGAGGGACATTCCTCATACCACAGGAATGGTCAGGCTAGGACTGTCCTTCAGTACAGCCATCACAGAGGACCCTGGCTTGTGCTGCTGAACCATCTGACCTTACAGTTTGTTACGAACACCTGAGTCCTGTAGCAAGAGAGAAATCAAGTACCAAGATCTGTATGAATCTTGTTCAGTTCTGAGGAACGCTGGATATTAATTCACGATTCTCTGATATTTTAATGATTTAACATATTAATCTGTTGTATTTAATGCAGGTTTGCTAGACAGGAAACACTTCATACATTAATACATTGGATCTTTCAACACTCATAACAAGTTTTTAAATCAGTTCATAGTCAAGGAACCAGGAGTTCATCTTGGGACATAATTTAAACCAATGGTCACTGTTTAAAATCAGCACTTCATAGTTCTTGTTTGTCTTGTGATGGATCTGTAGAGTTGCTTGAAATTAATGGAGAAGAGAGGTTATATATGAATTTCAAGTGAATATTTTATAATCATCTGTCTGGAAGTCCCAAAAAATAGGTTGTTGAAACACTTCCACATTGATTACAACACATTTCATGTGATATTCCTTTACAATAAAATATTATGAAGTCAGAGTATGTAGGTCTCTATGAATATATCTGAAAGTTGAATACCAGCTCAGCAATGACAGTAAACTGAGTGGAACCCCTAGCACAGATTGATCTTTCTATACACTCAGCTTCCCATCACTTCCTCTGTGCTGTCATCTCAACCCTCTGACCATGGACATTGGTAGGGATTGCTCTATCTAAACCAGTATATCCATGTTATAGGAATCAGTGACGTTTGAAGATATAGCTGTAGACTTCACCAAGGAAGAGTGGGTCCTGCTGGACACATCCCAGAGAAAGCTGTACAGAGATGTGATGCTGGAAAGTATCAATCATCTGGTCTCCGTGGGTGAGTCTGTCGACATGTATTTGTGTATGTGTCCATTCATTCACTCATTGAACAAGCATCTAGAACAGCTTCTCCATACCCCATTCCAATCACTGCCCTGAATCTTTCATAACCTGCATAAATACTTAAAAGAAAGATGTTTCTATACACTTTACTTTTTGTCACCACACTAGAATATAATCTTGCCCACAAATTAATGCTTTTCTTGCTACTCAGTCACCAACACTCAGAACAGAACTAGGAATTCAATGACTATTTTAATGCATAAGTAATTGTTTAAATATTTTTAAAATAATTATTCTGTTCTAGTCTCTACATGGAGGCTTGGGAACAGAGTAGTGAAAACAGTATAATTTTGATTATCCTTGTAAAGGTTATGTTTATTGCATGCTGTTTGAAAATATCTTCAACATACTGGCAAGACATTTAATTTCTTCCATTTTGAAAAGGCAGGATTCTGCATTCTTTCTTTGAACTTGGGTATGGGCATCAGCATCTAGCAGTCCCCCCTGTTTTTGCTGTAAGTCTGGATTTCTTCCAGGTCCAGTGAGGGGCCTTCCATGTTTTCTCTGTTGAATATGTTGTTTCAAGGACTGACCTTCAATCATCTCTTTATTCTTCCTCAGTAGCCTGCACTAGACTTGATGATAGCAAGTGTTAATTAGCACAGATCTCACAATCCACATATTTTTTTTTCCCACAAACAGGCTATCAGATATTCAAATCAGATGTTCTTTTCCAATTGGAGCAAGGAAAAGAGCTGTGGAGTCAAGGAAGTGGATTTCTCCAACACCAGAGTCAAGGTAAGCATCAGGGACCTGTGCTTCAATGCAGAGGCCTTGGTCAGTGAGTGAATACATCCCTGGAAATACCATCTGAAGATGTTGTGAAGTGAGTGATATATTCCGAAATGTCAATGAGGACACTGGGGCAAAATTACTCATGTTATTATCATTCCTTGCATATACCAATTACACTTCATGTCTTCCTGCCATTTTATTTGCCTTTAGGGAGAAGGATATTTGTGTAATTATTGTAGTTTAACTTTAACATAGTGATTCTTGTCCTGATCTACCCATTTAAAAATATTCCCACCATTTGCTGACCCAACATCTCATAGTCACATACTGTTTTTCATGTTTCAACCCTGATTTTTTTTCTTTTAATTGACAATGTCCTTTAAAATGTTTCTACTACCTAGAGTATTTCTTTATTTGACACCTTTCTCCACCTAATTGCCATTTTTTTAAAACATACTGAAATGAACCTTGGTATTTTTCTATATTTTCATTCCCCTAATGCCATTCTAACCTATTACATTTTTTTCAATTGCTTTAGGCAGGAGAAATCCCCTTAAAAATCAAGAAATGATATCAATGAAACATAACAGCATGAAGAAATTATCTCTGCCAATGGTAAGTTTCATGCGTGTGAACTCTAGTCATCTAAATTAAAGATCTTCCAATGAGATGAGTTAGTAAATGAGCAGAATCTCCTAATGTAATTAAGGTGGGATTAAGCACATTCTAGGCAAAATGTTTTGGGTAGTTTAAAATCAGTTAAGAAATTAACATGACTTCAAAGTAATGACTTGAAATCTAAAGAAAAATAATAATAAAGAAAGAAACACAATTGCATGAACACTGCTCATTATCTAAACTTTGAAACATATTGAAGGCTTCAAAATTAATCTGACACCTCTGCAGTTGGTATACTACAAAAGAGAAAATATTTATCCCTCCAGGAGAGTAACACAACATGTATATGCAATAATATTTGAAATACTTCATCAAGGGATTATTACTGACTTATATTCTAGAATTTATATGTAGAGAAATGAATGTATGGATATAGGTGGGCAAACCATTAATAACCTTTTATCTCCTTCCCCAAAGCATGTATCTCACACTCAAGGGGATACCATTGAATGTATTGATGTGGTTGATGAATTTACTCACAGATCTTCATTGCCTCGACGCTTGCCAGTTCAAATGAGAAAGAAACCTCCTGTCAGCAAACACTGTGGAAAATCACTTCATGATCAGTCATCCCTTAATCAAATTCACACTAGCGATGTGTCATGTGAATGTAATCTATGTGGGAAAGCCTTGAGTAATTTCTTTAGCCTTAGACGACACAAGATGATTCACAGTGGAGAGAAACCATATAAATGTCATCTATGTGGGAATGGCTTTTTGCAAAATTCTGACCTTAGAAACCACATTCGAATCCACACTGGAGAGAAACCATATAAATGTCATCTGTGTGGGAAAGTCTTCAGTCAAAGTTCATACCTTAGACAACATGAGAAAACTCACACAGGAGAGAAGCCATATGAATGCCATGTATGTGAGAAAGCTTTCAGTCAAAGTTCTTACCTTAGGAAACATGAGAGAATTCATCCTGGAGAGAAAAGTTATGAATGCCATCAGTGTGGGAAAGTCTTTAGACAAAGCTCTGGCCTTAGCCAGCACAAGAGAATCCATACAGGAGAGAAACCACATATATGTCTTCTATGTGGGAAGGATTTCTGTCAAAGTTCTGAACTTAGACGGCATAACAGAACACACTCAGGAGAAAAACCATATGAGTGTCATCAGTGTGGGAATGCCTTCAGTCAATATTCTAATCTTAGGCGACATGAGAGAACCCACACTGGAGAGCAACCGTATGAATGCCAGCTATGTGGGAAGTTCTTCAGTCATCGTTCTTCCCTTAGACGACACGAGGAAACCCAACATTGAAGAGGAAATCATGAATGCCTTCAGTGTGGAAGAAACATTAATCATACCTTTAACATTTAAACAAACCAAAGGACTCACACAGTAAAGAAACACTCTGTGTAATCAATATGGAAGAGTCTCCAGTCACCATACTCCTTAATAAAAATATGCATTTTCATATGGAATTGGATCCATATATATGGCATTAATGTGGAAAAGCCTTTAGTCATGGGCCTGACTTTAGATAACACGGCAGAACTCACACTAAATATAATGATATACATCTTCTCAACAACAACTCTAAAAGTTCAGGGTACTAGTGGATTGTACAGAGAAGAACTCCAAGTTGTTTGTTAATTATTATTGTTAAACATGAGCAAACTCCACATGGGATAACTCCTAGGTCTGTAATCACTGTGAACAAACATTCCACCAACTACCAGGTATGGTGTGCACAAGAAAACTCAGTGAAGGAACAAATGCTAAAACAGGCAATAAGATGAAGTTTCTTGAGGAATATCAAAGGATCTTGAGTAATACTAAATAATTCTTACAAATAATTATTAGTGGAGAAATTATTCAATGTAAAATAATAAGAAATATTTTATTCATAGAGCAGTACTTGTGGTATAGTGTGGATTCAGACGGTGCCAAACAGTCTGTGTCATGAGTGAAGGGATCCTTCAGTGATCACTTATTTCTTAGTCAACACTAAGATATTCATAACGAGGAAATAGCAATCCAAAAATCCAAGTGGATAAAACTACAGGTAGAGTTCTTATCCCAAAAAAATGTGTGTGTGTGTGTGTGTGTGTCTGTTTGGGGGGAAACTTCTCAAAGAATCGTTTAACACACAGTTCAGCAAATAACTGAGATTTTGTGAAAATATCTATTTATGAAAATGTGTCATAAAATGGAAAATGAAGTGATCTGGCAATACTGAATGTAGAATTTTGTAAGAAATAAAGTTTTAGATAGATCAATACTTGCAAATATTCACCAATAAAAACTGTTGCTAAAGAAGCTAATGGTTGGTGTTGTAGTTTCCTTTTTGCAGTTCTAAACACACAGATTCAGGTCTACTCTCCTTGGTGTGTGGACAGAGATTCAGCCCCCTCTCTGGGTCTCTCCTTTCTCCAACAGCTCTTTCCACACACCTGAGCTCCCTCATTCCATCTTCCCTCCAACATCATCAGTTTTCCTTCATACTCCTGTGCTGACACAACTGTGATCTTCTGCTCCACTTGCAAGGCTTCTCAGCGTGCCACCACCCTGGTCAGGCAAGGTTGGGGGGCAGTACCAAAGACATGTGTTCTAAAATATTTGGTGCGCCCTCAGCCTATATCTCTGCTGCTGGGAGCAGCCTGGAGCGAGAAAGACAGGCAGCTCTGCCCTCATCGCCTGCAGACAGTTCCTTGGATTTTTTCCCCAAACCTCTGAATTTAGCTAAGTGGAGGAAAGAGTTAATTCCATGACCACACTTTGTATCTTATTCAGGTTATTGCTGATTTACACACCCATCAGTCACCCCAGATAGCACTATTGCTGTGCTCTCTATCACATAGAAGCCTAGAAAATAAAGCTTCAGTATGATAAGATACGAAACCTACCATCCTCCACATAAGCATTCTTGTTTAATAGTTAATGCTACGTACTTCTCACCAAGCAAAGTGAATGTTCTCACAAAAAGCATCTGTCCCTATGTCCACAGGGATTGGAAATGTTAGTCTTTCAGCAAACACCAATATTGAATCTAAACATGAAGGGGAAACGCTCCCATGATATCCACTGAGATGACTCGTGCTTTTGCCACAATAGCACAACTCAAAACCACAGGCTTAACAGAGTCCAATTAAATGAGCACATGTGTAGTTGAAATGGCTAACATTATTATTTTTAAAAGTCTCCACAAATGATTCTACTGTACAGTCAGGGTAAAAAATCTCAAGTCATGAGTGAGGATGATGAGCAACCATTTCTATGGTCTGCCTAAGTTAATACATGTTCTAACCCCTGTAGTTGACTTTAGCTGTGATTCTGGGTAGCCACCCTGGATCCTATCTGGTGGGTTATCCAGGAATCAACACTTCTGTCTAACACGTCTCTAGGAGCGAAGTGGCATGTCCTGGTGTCACTGGGAGTGTGTCTTTGCTAGTATTGGGACTCCCTAGGAATGTACACACTTCCATCTCAGAGGAGCTCACGTCCCAGTGGGATTTATCCACAATGACCTATGTATGTATGCTGGGCAGTCGTGGTGAAACCAAGAGATTTCAGGACTGATCACATACAATTATGACCACAGGGTGGCAGAATGACACAAGATTTATTTGGGTGGCACATAGACATCTTGTCTGAGTGAGGAAGTCTTTCACAGTATGACACCTTCCAGCAGCAGTAATATCAGGTCTCCACCTAGAAAGGTAGGATGGCAAAGAAACTCCCAAGAGGAGAGGAGTTGGAGAGGGGGTCACTTGTCAAGATGATGCCTCTTAACAGCAATAAAAGGAGTCTCTGAGTCAGAGAAAGAAGAATGGATAGCAGAAGTTAGGAGACGTCTATAGTTCATGGTTTACCTTATCTATGGCTGGCAGATGTTGGGTGATGTTTCACAGGGTATGCACAGGAGGTAGGATTTAGATGGCTTAAAATCTACTAATTGGGGCTGCTTTAAAATAATTCAATGTGTATGAATTTGAGTTTGGCACCAGTGGGCCTTTGAGCTAAGGGCCTTGGCTGCTGTGAGGAAATAACGTGTAGGGACCTTCTTTGGATCATCTATAACCATGACTGATCATCTCAAATGATTTGTCTTCATGCTCACTAACAATGATCTCAATTGATGCAGAAAAAGCATATTATAAGAATCAACACCTTTTCTTAGTAAAAGCCTTCAATAAACTAGTAAAAGAAGGAAACTTCCTCAGCATAATAAAGGCCACGTAGTAAAACACACAGCTAACATCAGACTCAATGTTGAGAGACTACAAGCTTTTTTATCAGGTACGAGGCAAAGATGTTGAATTTCACCATTTCTCCTCCACATAATAATGGAAGTTCTAGCCTGAGCAAGTAGGGAGAAAAAGAAATAAAAGTCATCCAAATTGGAAAGTAAAAAGTAAAATTATTTCTTTTCACAGTTCACCTGACCTTCTATATACAAAACCCTAAAGGTTAAACACACACACTCACTGCTAGAGGTAACATTTTTTCAAAGTTGTAAGATAAAAAATTGGCCCACAAATCAGTTTTGTTTACATACACTAAAAATGAACAATTAGCAAAACAAATTAGGAAAGCAAATTCAATCCATGGAGACAATGTTCACTTGCAATAGCGAGGATGTAAGAATCTGACACTGATATATCCTGCCTCACCTTGCCTCCTTCGTTCTCAGAATTTCTTCTTATTCTTTTCCTCTGCCAATGTATCTCCAAAACGATGGGCAACAGGCTTTCAGGGGGCTCATTCAAGGAAGGTTTTCCCTCAAGAATCCTGTTTTTTGATACAACGGATACAGCTGAATATCTGAGAAATGAGATAATCTGTGATGGGATCATGACCAACATTTTTATGTTAATAAATATCACACTAAATTTGACTAAATGAAACAATTTTCTGCTGCTAAAAATAAGTTCAAAAACCAAGAATAGAAAAACCACCAACTGAAAGACCTCACTGTAATGAAGGCTGACAAAGGACATAATGTGTGCTGCACTTGTGGAAATTAAAGGGATTAACGAATGAGTTAATGAAATAAGAACTGGCTTGTTTACTGTCCCCGTGGAAACCTCAGTCACTGTGCTGGGACAGGGCATCAGAGGGGCAGATCTGTGGCAAAAGTGTCCGGGACAGGGGCAAGAGCACCACCAGGCTAAGCAGCACCCTGCCGGGCTTCTGCGACCCCTGCTGCTCTCTGAACCCTGAGCTCCAACACAGGTTCCAGGCATCTGCTCTTCCAGCCGGCACTGTGACCTTGGACAGGTCGTTTGACAGTAAACGAATTCACCAATGAACTGGGACATCTCCAGACTGGACAGAGAAGACAGTCATTGGGATGGAGGAGGAAAGACTCGGTAGGCTGGCTACCCTCAGCTGGAGGCACGCAGGGCCCACCACATGAGGAATTCCCAACATGGTCGAGTGGGTGGAGTCACAGATGCCTCATTGTGACACACCCAGAACCTCAGCCACAGATTGGCCAGGTGGGTGGTGTGGGATTAGGATAGAAGCCAGGCCTCCAGGGCCTGACACTGGGTGCAGTCTGGGGGAATAGGGGACTCTGGGGCTCCTGCTCCCTCTGCTGCCCCTTCTATCCAGATCCCCTCAATGTCCACCCTGCTGAGGAGGCCGCTCTGACCCGTGCTCCTCCTCTGGGTCTCAGAACAGACGATTCAAGTCCTCACCTTCCCAAAACAGATTCAAGTACTTACCTTCCCTCCTTTGTCTTCCTTCTCCACCCTGTGGGCAGGTAAAGGAGAGAAAGACCAGGATGAGCCCTTTGGATTTGGTAAAGAAATGCCAAAATCCCCTGCTCTGGGGGAAGTGGAAACAAGGAGCACGTCACAAGGATGGACAATGCCGTGAGCTCCAGGACCCTAATAGAAATTATGGGAAATCTCACAAAGCCTTGAGAACTCTGGCTAACAAGGGGAATGGAAGTGCGGGTGTGAAGGAGAACACTGTGGGGAGAATCTGTGGCCAGAACAGCAGAGTGGAAAGAGAAGACCTCGGAAAGGGCAGGTACCACATTTTTCTAGGAAATTTTAGTGTTAAAAAAGAGGCAGAGCTTTTCCAATCCCAAATGGAACAGAGTTCAGGTGGGCACAGGCTGGGTGAAAAACCGAGAAAGCTGTTAGCAGAACAAGTGCTCACCGCGGGTAGCACAAGTCAGGAAGGAAACGCAGATAAATATTTGGAGCAAAACTCAGAATCCTGTTGGGTGACATCATCAAAGATTTTGGATCTGCAAGAGGAAGAGAGAGGAAGCCCGGCTCACCAATGACAACCCTCTATAGTAC